AGTCTCCTGGCACGCTCTCGGCCTCGAGGAGCCTCCGTTTCCCCTCGAGGGAGTGGGCACTCCGCCCCGCGCAGGCCCAGCTCGTGTGCGCCGTAACGGCGCCCGTTCTCCCGCTTCCGCCGGCCTCCGAGGCGCCCTGGGGGCCGGCGCGGGCGCCCGACGCCGGGGGTGATCACTGCCCAGACAGTGGGATCGTTGGGCCCCGGGGAGAAGGGGCCCGGCTCTGCTTCTTGGATGCCTAGCAGGCTTCTTGGAGAAGGAACCTTCGAGTTGATGCTTAGGGGATGAATAGGCGTTCTTATGGCCCGGGGATGCCACCATACTGAGCCAGAGGAGGCTGCGTCTGCTTCGGACACAAAACACCAAAGTGATCCAGCTGTAAAGGAGTGGGAGACTTTTTTTTTTTTTCTTTGAGTTGGAGTCTCACTCTGTCGCCCAGACTGGAGCGCAGTGGCCGCTCCCGGCCACCGCAGCCTCGACCTGCCGGGCTCCGGCGATCCTTCCGCCTCAGCCTTCCGAGTAGCCGGAATTACAGGCGCGCGCTACCACGCCCGGCTGATTTTTTGATTTATGGTAGAGATGAGGTCTCGCTGTCCAGGCGGGTCTCGAACCCGCGGGCTCAGGCAATTCGCTCACCTCAGCCTCCCAAAGGCGCGGGATTACAGGCTGAGCCACCGAGCCCGGCTTGGAGTGGGAGACTTTTAAGATGCTTGAAGTGTGCCCAAGGGGCTGACGTTTTGACTTGGTGCAACGACCCCGCGTGTGTAGCAGTTTGGCCTGGCGGGTGGGAGCTCAGGAAAGGGAAATGACCCTGTGGCTACTACCATCCTGACAGGAAGGGCAAGGTCCTGGGGGAGCTGAGGAGTCGGACCTGGCTGGAGAGGCATGTCTTGGTAGAAAGCAGAATTCTCCGAATCTGAGATGGGGTGAGGTTGTTAGGGCAGTGGAGAGGACTCCAAGGGGCCGGGATTGAGTGCCTGGGCTGTTGCCTGAGGAATTGTTCATTTACCTTAGTCTTAGGGTAAAATAGACTTTTTCATCATAGTTTGAAAACTATTTTCATCTAATAGCACTCTTTTCAATAAAGTCATTAGTTGAAATGTAACTTTTTCATTGCTTGGATTACTTTCCATTGAACTGTCTGCAGATGAGTAAAATGCTGCCAGACTATGATGCAATCTAGTATTCAGTGTGACAGATGCAGACTCCCATGGGGGGAAACAGGTGCTGAATAAAAGTTTCAAGGGTCCTGGAAGCAGGCAAAGCCCACCTGCATTTCACCTCCACACAGGGGAGGCCACAAGACAGCAGAAATTTGTATCCCCAGAACGTCCTGGTCAGAAAGAAACTTAAATCCAAGATATCCATTTTACAAGTAAGGAAACAGCCCCACAGAAAATGGTGAATGAAGTAATGTCACAGCTCACGGTCATGGATGTCCCTTCCAGTCAGGGAGGCAGTGCTGCCGGGGGGGACATCACACGGTGCCTGGGTACACCTTAGACGAAGTGGTCAGGGGAGCTATGCCTGAGGCGGTGACACTGAACAGGGGACCTGAAGGAAACATAAGAGGGAGCCAAGCAAAGGCTCAGAGTTGGGGTGAACTCAGTGTATTCCGGAAACAGCATGGCCACACTGGAACGGAAGAGAGAGATGAGATGGGGTGGAGGGCTGGTGTGGAGCTAGGAAGGCCGAGGAAACGACTTGGTCTTAACTCAGATGGGACAGTGATATGGTCTGACTTCAGTTTGAAAAGGGGCCTCTGGCAGCTATATTGAGGACACATCTGAGGTTGGGTGCAGAGGCTCGAGCCTGTCATCCCAGCACTTTGGAAGGCCGAAGTGAGAGGATTGCCGGAGTCCAGGGGTTTGAGAACAGCCTGGGCCACTTGGTGAGACCTCGTCTCTACAATAAATTAAAAAACTAGCCAGGCGTGGTGGAGCATGCCTGTGGTTCCAGCTACTTGGAAGACAGATGGAAGGATCGCCTGAGCCCAGCAGGTCAAGGCTGTGGTGTCCATGAGCGTGCCACTGCACTGCAGCCTGGGCGACAGAGCGAAACTCCAACTCAGAAAAAAAAAAAAAAAGAGAGAGAGAGAACACATCTGGTAATGAAAGCCAAAACAAAGAGTTGATTTAGAAGGTGACACCAGCCAGTCCAGGGAATAAGCAATGGGCAGCTCAAGCCAAGCAGGTGCCAGTAGTGGTAGTAGGAACAAGTTGGATATATTTTGAAGGTAGAGCCCATAGGATTTGCTGGTGGCTTAGATGTGGCATGTAAGAGGAATGGGAGTCACATGTGATTTCAAGTTCAAAAAAGATGTACACAGTCATTCATTCTGATAGAACTATAAGCATTTGGAAAATATGACGGCAAAGCTCCTGTGCACCATTGGACTAATTTAAGACTAAGCTGGCAACAGCTCTCCATCTCCTGGAAGCCTTCCCATGGTCGGAAGCAAGGCTCATTAATTAATTCATCCAGCAAGCATTCATGTGCCGGGCCTGGAGACTAAGAAAACCAACTCAGGTGTTGGCCATAGTTCTGTCCCCAGGAAACTTGCAGGTTGGCTGTGGAAACTGACACATAAACATCATTTTAACTCAGTCTGTTTGGGGACTGCGCCGAGAGGGATGCACAGAGGACTTGGGACTCAAGGGGAGGTTGCTGCTCATGGGATGGGAGAGGGCTCCCTGAAGGAGGTGACACCTGACAGCAATAAGAGGACAGCCTGGCTTTAACCAGTGCTCTAAGAGGCTGTGTGTCTTTGTAAATGGCAGTGCAGTGACACTAATGCCAATTAATGCATGCTATGAACAGCAATGGAAGGCCTATTCAGAAACTCTAAACACCTTCCCAGCTTTGTGAGTTACCGTTTAACTTTCAGGGTCAGACCCAAGTGTTGGCTCCAGTGAGAGCATTAATACTGATGATAATTTGAGCGATTGTTGTGCATCAGGTGTTGTGTTAAGAGCTGTACATGTATCTTCTGTAATCCTTATAAATGCCCCATTTCACAGGTGAGAAAACTGAGACTCAAGGGAGGGGTTTGTCAAGAGCTCAACTAGTACCTTGGCGATAAGGCAAGAATTTGGAACCCGGTCGTGGTTCACTTTGAAAAAAGCTATGAGTGGCCTTTCCAACGCCACTTGTCGCCTCCACCAGAACACTTACGGAGTTGGATTATAACTGTCTGACTCCGCCTCTCCCGCTCACCTCGCACTTTAAACTCCTCCAAGGCAGGAATCTCGTTAATTCGGCTTCGAAAACCTTCACCCCCTCAGACCACCGGCGCCTAGCTCAGAGCTGCACAGATTGGGAGATCTGCAAGTTTCCCCGAATGAATGAGTGAACGAATACATGACTAAATGGACGATTTCGAGCCCTTAGTGTGTCGTCTACAGTAAACTTCCGCCAACCCGGGGCCTCGGTTTCCCCAACTGCGCAGCTCAGGGTGTATTACCCACCTAGACAGCTCCGGGCGGCGGGAAAGAGGCGGGCACCACGGGGCGGGGCGGGGCGGGGCGGGGCGGGGCGGAATGGGAAGGGCGGAGCCGAGGAGCCCCATGCCGCGGCGTCATTGGCTGCGCCCACCTCCACCCGGCAGTAGTTACAGAGGTCAGCCTCTCCCACTTCCTCTTTCCCTCGGAGCAGGGGTCCGCGGCTGTGGTGCCTTGTGCAGCAATGGTAGGAGCCGGGAGATCGAATAACATCCGCGCGCTGGCGGGAGCGTGGTTTGGGGCAGGGGGCACAGGCTGAGTCCCCGGATCCCATAGGCCAGCTGGGCCTGTGGGACACCGCGCAGAACGGCCTGGCACCAACACAGCCCGCCTCCCGTTTTTTCCTCTGCCGAGCTTAGACCGGGAAGGACTCGCGCGGCCGCGACCTGTCTTCCTGTCTTTGGAATGGGGTGGCGGCTGTGTCTGGTAGCCGGCCTGGGCGAGGTCGCGCCCGCCGGGGTCTCAGTTACCCTGTCCGAGACACGGCCTCGGCGGGGAATCGATGCTGAGCCCCGGAAGGGCCTTCGTAGCCGAGTGCGAGGCGCGCCCCTTTCGGGCCTGGCCGCGACACAGGAGGGCCGGCGGGTTGACCCACACGCTTTCTCGCGCGCAGGCCAAGATTAAGGCCCGAGACCTGCGCGGCAAGAAGAAGGAGGAGCTGCTGAAACAGCTGGACGACCTGAAGGTGGAGCTGTCTCAGCTGCGGGTCGCCAAAGTGACAGGCGGCGCGGCGTCCAAGCTCTCCAAGATGTGAGTGACGCCAGGCCTCTAGACGTGGGGAGCACGTGTGCATCGGGAGTGTCGGGATTTTTGAAGGTGGCCTCAGCAGGTGTCCGTTTAGCTGCTCACCCAGTGCATTCTTGGGCCGCAGGGGAGACCCGCTGTTTCTTTACCTACTTTGGCCCCGCGGTCCTTTTGGCTGGGGTTCCCTTGCTTGGTTTCTCAGGTTGGAGAAAGAACCACCAGCACTTGATTTTTTTTTCTTCTTCGCCTATCACCCTTGGTAAGCGGGTGCCTTGTGCACCCTTTGCTTGAGTTGTAGTGTGACATTTGATTTACATCGGTAAGGATAGAGGAGACTTGTGAAAGGAACGTGGATTTGGAGTCAAATTCACTTCTGCCATATCCTACCTGAGGGGTAGGTTGGCTTGTCTCCCACAGGATGTTGTTCCTCTAAAGAATGCTGTTCACGCCGATAACTTTGCTGTAGGGTGGGGATGGGAAGATCAGATGAGTTGGGAAACAGAGGCAAAGTAACACACTGAATTCTCGAGATCCTGTTTGCCAGCCATCTACTGGGTGACCCTCCCTCATCTCCTGAAGTGGCTTTTGAACACGACTATAAGTTAACTTCTCCCCTGCCTGCCCCCATGGTGTTTCTACTTTCTGAATGTCTCATCTCTGAGTGGCCTGGGAATCTCTAAACTGGCCTGGTTGCCTGACTTGTGGCATTACTCCCCTTGCCAGCTCATTTAACTGAGATTTGGTCGAAGGTCCTTTCCTCATCTGCCCCATCTCTCCAGCTCGCAGTTCCTCATTAAGCCTCCTTTGTTTCCATCTCGCCTAACACTCCACCGCTCAGCAGCACTTGGGCTCTCTGTCCCCATTCCTGGGATGCCTGTCCCATGCTCCTCTACCTCACTTCCAGAACACCTTCCTCCTGGGTGAATATGGATCGGCTGGTGGGGAATATCACAGTGGTCCCTGCCCTGTGGGCCCTTAAAATGCCTTGGAGAGTGCTGTGTTTTCCCCATCTTCACTGACATCTCTGTTTTGTAGCCGAGTCGTCCGCAAATCCATTGCTCGTGTTCTCACCGTTATTAACCAGACTCAGAAAGAAAACCTCAGGAAGTTCTACAAGGTGAGGGGGGCGAAGTTGGCTACCAGAAAGAGGCTTTCCTGCTTGGGTGTCTGGGACTGGGAATGGTTGGGCTTTCCAGAGTCTACCCAATTTGTGGCTGGACTCTCCTTCAGCATCTTGGACTGGCATGTGGCAATGTAGACTGCATCCTCCAGCTGCAGATGTATAGAATTTGATGGTCTGGGTTGAGCTTGAAGTCCAGACTTCCCAACTGAGTGTGCTTGGACAGTTTATGGGATGAGCTCTTTAAGGTTGTTATGGGGTTTTTTGTTTGAGTCAAGGTCTCTTGCCCAGGCTGGAGCGCAGTGGCATGATCATGATTCACTGCAGCCTCAAACTCTTGGACTCAGGCAGTCCTCCTGCCTCAGATTTCCAAGTAGCTGGAACTACAGGCACATTGCCACTATGTGCAGCTAATTTCTCTTTTCTTTTTTTCTTTTTGAGTTGGAGTCTCACTCTCGCCCAGGCTGGAGTGCAGCAGCATGCTCACAGCAACCACAGCCTCAACCTGCTGGGCTCAAGTGATCCTTCCGCCTCAGCCTTCCAAGTACCAGAACTACAGGCACAGGCCACTATGCCCAGCAAATTTTTTTGATTTATTGTAGAGATGAGGTCTCTCCAAGTTGCCCAGGCTGGTCTTGAACCAATGGACTCAGGCAACCTCTCATCTTGGTCTCTCAAAGTACTGGGATTATAGGTGTGAGCCACCATGCCTGGGCTTTTTTTCTTTTTTTTAAAATTGAAGTCTTGCTGTTGTCCAGGCTGGAGTGCAGTGGCCACTCACGGCTACTGCAACCTTGACCTGCTGGGCCCAGGTGATCCTTCCACCTCAGCCTTCCAAGTAGCTGGAACTACAGACATGCACCATTACGCCCAGCTAATTTTTTTTTGACTTATTGTAGAAACACAGTCTGAAAATATTGCCCGAGCTGGTGTTTAAGGTTTACTAGCGCTATATGGCAGTCACTGCCAAGCACCTGACATTCTGTTCTGATGAGAGGGCCCTGGGGCTTAAGCTATTTCCCAGGATCACCTGCAGTCAAGGGAGTGATGGGCCTCAGTTCCAAGCCATATCTTAAGGAGGGCTGAATTGAGTGTGCTCTTGGAAATGTACACAGGTGTCTGGGCGCCCCCAACCCTGAATTTTGACACCATTTTCTGATGTTGTCCTTAACATGTTATCAGGGTTCACGCAGAGCAGCATCCAGAAGGAGACTTTGTGCACATAAATTGGGTAAATTTCAGAGATTTGGTTTACCTGGTTGTGGGGCTGCTTGAAACTCGACACAGGTTGAAGCTGCTCTCTCTAGTGGGATTCCTTGGCAGGAGCCTCAGCCTTGCTTTTAAAGCTTTATGCTGATTAGATCAGACCCACCCTGATTACCCTGGGTGCTCTCCCTTAATTAAAGTCATCTGGTTGAGACTTTAATTATATCTACTAAATGCTTCACATCAATACCCAAATTAGTGCTTTGAATAGCTGGAAGGTTTGACGCATCAGAAAAAGCAATCATAGCTGGATGCAGTGGTTCATGCCTGTAGTCTCAGCTACTCGAGAGGCTGAGGCCCCATCTCAAAACAATGAAAAAGCAATCGCTGTGACTGGGCTAGCTGTCTCCGGTACACTGTGGTGTGCACATTTGTGTGTGAGAACATTTTTCTGGGGAGTGGGCCTGAAACTTCCATCAGGTTCTGGGTGAACCGGGCAGAGGTGGGAGCCAAAAGAATTGCCTTCATGGCCATCCAGTGAGTGGCTGGGTATCAGGCAGATGGAAGGACCTGATAGGAGTCTGTTGACTTGGGAGCAAGCCTCTGTGCTCGTGTACCAGGCACTCCTGGGGGAGAGAAGTGAGGGCTCCCCCTTTACAGAAGTAGGGAATGTTCTGTGATGATGGAATTGGCCTGTGTCTGCATTGTGATCTGGCCGCGTGTGGCTGTTGAGTATTTAATGTGACTACAGTGACTGAAAACTGAATTTCCACTATGAACAGCTGTGTGTGACTGGTGGCTAGTGCCAGCTGAAACGAGGGATGTGGCTGGACAAATGCTTTCCTGCCTCCAGCTCCCCACCACAGCTTTCCCTTGTCATCCTGAGGGGTGGCTTTCTGCAGTTCTCTGTCCACCCACAGGGCCTGGTTCCTGGGGTGGTCTGATCTCAGGATCCCAGCTCAGCTCCCAGACCTCTCCTACACCTTTCCCTCCAGGGTGGGTTCCCAGAATGAGAATGACCTGACCTTCAGGGTACTCTGCATGTGCTGCTTTCTGCTCTCTCAACTGGCATCCTGTGCCAGCACCCAGTACAGGACCTTGTCCTGAAGAAGGTCCACGGGACCTTAGAACAACAAAGGAGAGGCCAGTGAAAGCTGCCGTGGTCTAGAACCCCTCACTGGGGGCACGTTGGACAGGCCCGAGAATGGGAGGAGCAGGGCTGAGGATGTGGAGGGTGGTTCTGGGCATGCAAAAACCCAAGGCAGGAATGGAGGGCAGGGCTTTGCTCCACGTGCAGGATGACCTTGGCCAAGCCAGGTCTTCCCTGCAGCTCTGTTGTCACAGGCCACATTAGATGAATTGAGCACTGCCTTAACTCCATACGCAGCATCTTGTGTCATGAAAGGATTGGTGTGACTTTGACCTCATGGCTGAGAATCAGACAGATGGAAGGAGCATTGAGTTGGGCGTCCACTGACACGGGTGCAAGCCCCAGTTCTCTGCCTGGGATTGGGGCAACGCTCAGCCCAGTAAGTCAACAAGTGAGGACAGCTCCACCGGCCTAGGACCGGGGAGAGTTAAATGTGCTGGTGAGCACAGTGTTCGGCCTGTTGATCTCTGCCTTGCAAATCATCTTCCCCCTCCCAATCCCAGCGCCCCGTCACTCCTCACTCTCAGAAAACGTCTTCCCATTGCCCTCGTTCTGACCTCCCAGGCTCTCTTAGTTGCTCCTAGAACCCTGGTTGTTGAATTCATCTTGCTGTCTACCCCCAGGGCAAGAAGTACAAGCCCCTGGATCTGCGGCCTAAGAAAACGCGTGCCATGCGCCGCCGGCTCAACAAGCACGAGGAGAACCTGAAGACCAAGAAGCAGCAGCGGAAGGAGCGGTTATACCCAATGCGGAAGTATGCGGTCAAGGCCTGAGCATCCACGAATAAAACACAACTGGCTGACACTGTTTTTTTGTTTCCTGATGCGTCCTCTGAGCAGGCTGGAGAGGTGGGATGGGGGGCGCCCAGGCTAGGGGCCCTAGTTGTGGTTACCAGGTGACGAGTGGATCCCAGCGAGCCCCTTGCCTGCAGCTGTTGGCTGCTCTGGTGGGGCCTGTAGCCCTGGCAGGGAGAGGGTGAGATCAGGGCTATCTGAGGTTGTGTTACATTGGAGGGGCCCTGAGTAGTTTCATGCGGGGTGCTCAGCATCTGGCCTGATCGGCAGCTCCACACACTAGAAGCTTCCCATCTGGGGTGAAGGCACAGGCATGGGCCACATCCAGGACTCCCTGCCAGAAGTAGAGAACGGGGGGAATTCAAGTCTTACCCTCCCCAAGGTTGGGGTCCACTGCTCCCCCCTGGGTGCCGCAGCCACAGGCCTCACCTTCACAGTCTCCAGGCACTTCCCAGTGCTGCAGTCCCAGACTCTGACCTGGAAGCAGGGAAGGAAGGGGCAGGAGGCCTCCCTAGGCCAGCTTGGCATCTGAAATCCCCTCTAGGTAAGCCTTGACATGTTGTCCTCATGGCCTGGGTTTTGATGTCTACAGGGTTTATCTGAAATGCTTGGCATGGGGTCTGACACAAATTGGGGTGCAAGAGTTTCCCTCCACCTGAAGCTACATAGGTCACAGAAATGTCAGGCCTTAGTGCTGGCAATTAGGTAGGAGATAAGAGCCCTCAGGGCTCTGAGAAGGGAATGGTGGGATTTGTCGAGGTTACCATGCGGGAGTAGCCAGCGCTGGCCAGCCGCTGCTCATCAGGGGAGAAAGCTATGCTCTTCACCCAGGTGACATGGCCCTTGAGTTGGACAAGCAGGCTGCTGGTTGTGGGCTTCCAGATGTGGATGGTCTTGTCCCAGGAGCCGGATGCCTGAACAGCAGATAACTCTGGTCCCCTGGGTATGGGGCCTGCGGGCTGCCCGGGACCCTCTTGGAACATAGCAACCCTGCTTACCAGAAGACCAGACGCTGAGTAGCGGAGGCAGCTGATGTTGCCACTGTGGCCCTCCAGCTCCTGGTGGAAGACTGCCGGGGTTCCTGCCCGCAGGTCCCAGATGCAGATAGTGGAGTCCCAGGAGCCGGTGGCCTGCAAGCAGCTCCCTGAGTCTGGCCCAGCCAGCCCTGCCCACCCTCCAGTGCCCAGGCTGGATGTGGGAGCACAGTCCCATCACTCAGCTACATGTGGGTCATGGGCCATGAATGGGGACCCAGGGCTGAGGTAAGCCTCACCAGGCAGTCCGCACTGGGTGAGAAGTCACTGCTCTGGATGGAGTCTCGGTGCCCAACTAAGAGGCGCAGTATCTGGCCAGACTAGAGGACACAGCCCTGAGCCTCTGGAGGCAGCTGCCCAAGAGGGGTCAGGCCTGGGCCTTCCTGCGAGGCTGCCAGAGCCACGTCACCACATAGCACCTGGGCCTTGACAGGCAGGGAAGGGCTGTCCAGGCAGGGGACCTGTGCCGAGGTATGTGGGGCAGGCAGCTGCAGCGGGGTGGGGGATGGAGGAGTGGTCTTGGGTACCTGGTGTGGACAGGGGCATGCAGAACCAATGGAGGGTTTGAGCCAGGAGGTAAGACGGGACGCCCTCTGGAGCCAGTGTGGAGGGTGCATGTCCTCCCCGGTCCCAGGTCTGACTGGGCCCCCCTCCACATACCTGCACCTCCCAGAGCATCACCCGCTTGTCCCAGCCACCCGAGGCCAGCTGCCTTGAGTCAGGGCTGAAGCTGACTGTCTCCACACTCCGCTGGTGACCTGCAGGCACCCGCCCAGGTGACAGCACACAGCAAGGTCCAAAAGGGAATGCAGGCCTGCCTGCTCGGCTCCAGATGGCACCTAGCCCACTCACCCTTCAGGACCCGCAGACACTTGGCTCCTCCCACATCCCACAGGCGGACAGTGCAGTCACAGGAGGAGCTGGCAAAGAGGTGGCCATCAGGAGAGAAGCGGCAGAACTTCACAGGGCCTAGGACAGGTGGTCGTGTCGGACAGGGTACTCTGCCCTCCACTTTCCGTCCGTACAGCCCAACCCCGGCTTATTTCTCCAGGCTTATTGTCCAACCCCTGCCATCTGGAGGCCTGGATTCCCAAGCTGGGCTGGTTTCTCGGCCTTGGAATACCCCATCTTGGTCTGCCCATCTGGAGATCATCAAATGCAAGCACCTCCCAAAATCTCATCCAGCATAGGTTCCTTGCTCCTGTGAGCTCCCAGCCCCTAACTTTCCCTATCAATGGCATTAACCTGTCTGCCTGTAATTGCCTGCTTTTTTTTTTTTTTGAGTTGGAGTCTCACTCCATCACCCAGACTGGAGTGCAGTGGCTGCTCCCGGCCCTCGCC